CTTATTTACAAAACTAAAGAAAACAAAAGAAAAGGAGAAATAACTCTTCAAAAATTAAATGTTCAATGAGGTGGTAGGAAACGAAGTAATCTTTAATACATTTCAAGCCTTCTTAACTAGAAAATATCAAGGACTAGGATACAATGAAAATACCCAAATCAAAAGAAGAATAAACGAATTATACTCAAAACTTCAACGACTAGGACAAATAGTAAGAATAAGGAGAACAATCAAAAAGAAAATAACTATATATGAACAAACACCAGGAACATATACAGGATACCAAGAAAGAGAAATAGAGATACCTGAAACACAAGAAGTAGACGAAAACGTTACTTTATCAGAAGAAGAAATAGCAATACTAATTATATACTGCTGGCACACAAATGATATATCAAAATATAATCACGCTATAAATCAATTAGGCAGAGCACCACAAACAATTGAAAGACTAATACAAGTAGCACAATTGAGATAACAAAATGGCAGCACCAATGAAATTCCCAAGTCTCAAAATATTAGCATCAAACTTACCAACATTCTCTGGCAGGCCAGAAGAATACATAGAATGGAGAATTTCATTAGAGAATATCTTTAACATTATGAATATAGGACAAACAGTAGCAGTATTTGGAAGATACTGGGGAAATGAGGAAGAAGGATGGACCAGAGTAGAAGTAGCAGCAAACCGAAATGGAGTGAATCATACAATATAAAAAGCATACTTTAATATAGAATACTTTAATAGAGTAAAAGCAGTAATCTTTACCAAACTAACAGAACTGGCTAAAGCATTATTCCAAGCAAACCCAACAATAAATTGTTACTACAAAATAAGAAATAGAGACAATACAGGACTAAAAGGTGCAACTAATTATCCAATAAATATAGCAACTGACTATACCCAAGACGACTGGCATGCTACAGCATTGGGACAAGGAGGACTAACATATCAATCACCACAAGTATCATTCAGAGAAGTATTTGACAACGAATATATTACTGACGATATTAGATTCAGTAACCAATGAAAATTTAAAAGAATGAGATTCGAACCAGATTATTTCAAAGAAAACTCATTTATAGCATTCAGAGATGCCTGCGAAAAAGCAAAAGAACTTGCGAATTATCAATTTAGCAATATATTCCAAGGAGCAGAATACCAATTCTTATTAGAATTAATACCACATGACTACCAAAGCCATATCATGACTGCAGCAGCACAACCAGCAAATTTTGGAACATGTGCAAAAATTACTTTAAAGTACAAAGAAACCTCAACCAAATGAAGAATAAAATATCAAAAGTAAACAACTTCAGAAGAACAAAAATCAATAACTTCATTAACAGTAACACAACTGACAACTCTGAGAAAAAAGACATATCAATGATAGAATGCTTCAGATGTCACCAAAAAGGACACTATGCAAGATATTGTAGAAATGCAAAAAAGGAATCATTCAATAAATTCCAACCATGAGGAAACCAAAGAAGACCTCAAAGATTCCAAAAAAGAAAACCAAATCAAAGATTTGCAAGAAAGGAATATAATCAAAACAGACAAAATAGAGAAAATTATGGAAAACCACAACAATGACCTTGTCAATATTGCAAATACACTAAAGGACATAGAAACTTATATCCAAAGAAAAATGAAACCTACTATAATGGATGAAAGTCAAATAACATGCAATACAATTTCTGAAACAAAAGTGTAAACAACTTTAAACCAAAAGAAATAGGAATGGGAGAAACCAAAAAGGGAATCAATAATGAAAAAAAACCAAAAGTAAACTTCAAAAAGAAATTGAATTATTACCAAGAAGAAGATGATGAGGAAGAATACTTCTCACAAGAAGAAGAAGTACCTCTAAAAAACCAAATGATAAAAGAAATAAAAAAATATTATTCTTTCTATTAGGAGACCTGCCTAGTGTTCAGAACCAATCTCCATATACAAACAATATGGTTACACTAGAAAATGTATAAATATATATCAAATACCAAATATCAATAACCTCAAATGTATTAATACAAAATTATTAAATAAAGGATCATGTTTAAATAACCAATACACAATACGTTTTGCCAAAGAAAATTTATCAAACAAAATGAAAAAGAAAGCATCAGAAGATCCTGATTATCAATATTTACTAAAAGACTATAAATTTGTGAAAGATCCACAAATAGCCCTAATGAACCAAAAGGAAAGAAAGCATACTACTTTGTAGCATTAATAAATAATAAACCAATCAAAGTATTACTCGATGAAGAAGCAAGTGCTAATGTCATAGAATTAGACCTGGCACGAGAATATGGTTTACTCAAACTATTAAAAGAACCACCTACCAGGACAGCACAATTACCTGAAGGAAAAGTAATCAAAAACTACAGAAAGATAACAGTACTTTTCCAAGTAGATGGATACAAAGAAAACCTTAAAGTAACAATCATTGAAGGGAACCAAGCATACCTCCTACTCTTTGAAATCGATCAGGCATGGTTAAACATATCCAAAGATCAAAAAAGACGCATCATTCTTATATACGGTAAACCAATAAATTACCAAGATATTGATGAAAACATCAAATTCCAAAGGGGTTTAGGCATTATGATCAAGTCTCTATTCGTAATGACCTAGTTTCTCAGGTACCCCTCTGAACCTTGAGATTACACGAGTCCAAGCTAGCCAAATATCTCAAAAAACGAGATACCCCTCAAAAAATGGAAAAAACCCACAGAAAGGCACCCAACGTGGTATCTAAAATGGACCACAACCAACCAGGAATAATGCCAAATGATACTGGTTGCCAAGAATTAATATCAAGAAAGGTGCCCAGTACCCAAAAATAGATAGAACAAGAATACCATAATTCAAAATATAAAAAATTAATTAATGAATTAATACCTTATTCATTCAATGAACAACTTAACCTGTTAAAGAAACAAGTGGAAAGAAATAAACAAAGAAACAAATTGATAGGAACTACTTGCGATAGCAAATGGTTGGAAATAGTAAGAACTGCTTTAGCTACAGACTCTAACATCCTTCAAATCTTTCTAACTTATAAAGAATTAAATAGGCAATTCAAAAATGAACAAGAAAAAAGATACGCTGAATTACAAAATGGTGAACCTGATAAAACAGAAGATAATAATATTATAATAAGCAATAATAATATTGGGCTAAAAATGGCACTACACATTACCTTAGGTTTGTATATCAATCAACCATTGTATGGACATAATGGTAAAAGAAATTGGAAAATAAATAGAAATATAGGTACCTTAGCTAGAGATAAGAAACGATCAGACGTGATTGATAATATTAATAAAATATTACGTGTAATAAACAAGAACAATGGATATCGGATTACTATTAGAAAACTCGGCCAGCAACAATTGCTTTGGTGCAACCATTCCAGACCTCATAGATATAGTAAATAGTACAAGTCAAAAGTTAAGATATAAAGATAAGGCAAGACTAAAGAAGCGAATAGGCATATGCTTTGACATGCAGCACTGGTATGCTGCAGGGCAAGGCAAGAGAATCGATGAGTATCGGAATGTACTAAGAATGTATAGACAGAAAATCATATTAGTACACATGAATAACAGTCCGCCGGAAGTGATATTTGGCAAAGGAATGGACAAACACAAGCACCTATTAGATCCACAAGCAAGTATACAACAAAAAGTATACCAAATGATTATACAGCATAAAGAGGTCTATGCTGCGGTAGTAGAGACACCGTCAAATGAAATAGCTAATCAAATAGCACAAATACATGAAATCTCTAAATTAAGAGAATGGGCAGGAGATACGTTTCAAGAAGAAACACCTCAAGAAGAATGGTCAAAAAGAAAAGACCAAGAATTAAAAAAACACAAAAACCAATATGAAGGACCAGGATTATCAGGAATACAATTCTATTAGAAATGGAATTTGAAGATCCAGAAGTAATATTACTCGCAGAACAACTAAAACAAATGACAGTTGCAGCAGAACACGAAGTACTGCAAAATAAACAAGAAAAAAGACTAAATCAACTCTATTTAGAAGGAGCACAAAGAGAAATAGATCAATTCAAGAAACAAGTAATAGAAAAAGATAACACTAAAAAGAAAGGAAAAGGAAAAGCTAAAAGCTTAAATATCACCTTAAATCAACAAGAGGAAAGCAAAGTCAAAGCACCCAAAATGGGAACATTCATTAAAACATAATTGACACAATTAGATTGGATCTTGTAGTTAGAAAAAGAACAAGAAGATCCAAAAATTAGAATAGGATTAAGGCAACTAAAACAACAACTAGAAAGCATAGAAACAAATTATAAATATGTTTCCCAATTAACAAAACAACAAACTAATGAACATATCCAGAAAATTGAAAAAGTCACAAATAGAAAAATATCAGAAGCCGAAACAGCAGAAGATAAGAAAGCTTATCTATATAAAACAATATCTGCATTAACAGAAACAAAAGATGCTATTCTTTGGAAGAATAGAGACCTGGTAAAAGATTTTAAGAAGAATATGGATATGCAACTAACCAAGCACTAACCTTGGACAGAAAGGACTTTGAAGCTATAGAGG